CTTTATAGAATATTAGCCTACTCTTATTTAATTGCGCTAATAAAAGTATTTATACTCTTATCTATAGAGCTAACGCTAAGAGACCTACTAGGTAGCTTAGTAAGCCGGTCCTTAAGTAAGCTCTATACGTTTTCTATTAGGTTAAGATCTAGGCTATATAGCGGATGCTTAAAAAGTCTAATATGCTTACGCTAAAACTACTCTAGAACGTTCTTAGCTATATAGATCTTAGCGTTATCTTACTAAAAACTCTAGCCTAAATAGTTTTAAATTAGCTCTACAATTTAACATACTTAGGTAGAAATGTATTATTAAATATTAAAAGACAAATATAAATATATATTTAAAATATATATATTAAACTTACCTCTCTTTATTTTTAGTTTTATATAGGGTATTAGACACCGCCTAATATAGTAGTAAGAGGGATGGGAGATAGTAGATTTTAGTGTTTTTATTACTACTATATCTAATCTTCTACCTATCCAAATTGCGGCCTAAACTTAGATAGTTATATTATAACCTAGAACTTAATTAGTAAGCTAGATATAGATAAGATATATATATATAATAATTATATATATCTAGTAGATATATATTATACATATAAGAGTTTTTAAAACGTACTAGTAGTTTTACTAGAAACTAGAGTTCTTCTACCTTTGGAATTACCGCGTTTTCTAGTATATTCTAAGCGAGATCCGTGCCTACGCTTAACTCCACACTCGTCTAAGAATATAATCTTTTTAAAATTAATATTAGAAAGCTCTTTTAGCTGTCTCTTAGCGTAGGCTAGTCTTTCTCTAGCTCTAGACGTGTTTAACGTTGATTTTTTAGAGCAGATATTTACTGTCTAGCCTTCTACTCTAAGAACTCTTTAAAGAGTTCTAGTAGAAACTTCTAGATTATTCTCGCGGATTAATCTAGAATTTATCTTCTTTAGGCTCTTAGTTATATCCCTATTAATAGCTCTTCTAGTCCTAGTAGAAAGCTTTAAAATCTGGCCTCTACTAGCTCTTTCTTACTTAGTAATGTTTTTCTTTTTTTTATTAATACGATAAATAGCGTCGTAGATAGATCTTAGAGGCTTCTAAAAGTAGATAGAAATGTTTTTAATAGCTATATTAGCGTTAATAAGCTAATCAACTTTAGCTTTAAATTTAGAAAGTTTTAGATCTATCTAGAGGAAATAAAGATCTAAGAGACTAAGAATTAAAAGAGTAATATATATATAATATTCTAACTAATTACTAACTAATATACCACTTATGTAAGTATAGGCTAAGTACTAGATGTATTAAGAATCTATTATATATATAAGCTAGAGTAGCTAAGACCATTATTACGTAATCTATATATCTACTACTACTATATATATAACTATTAGCTATATAGCTCTATCTACTATAGAGTTCTAAAAGTTTAAAATCTTTTAGAATTTTTCTAAGTATTTAAGTTATTATAGATCTATCTAAAGCTACAGTAGAATATCACGTGACACCTATGTAAAAGACTAGAAGATCTTAGCTTTCAAACGCACTAACCTTTATATCTATAGCCACTATAGCTGCTGAGTAATTCTCTTTTAAAAATAATAACCTTTTTTTCTACGTTTTTTTTTTGTCACCCCACTGTATTATAGTGGAAGAATACGCGAACGAAGTTTCTAATATAATAGTATTAGAGTACAGAATACCTAGAAAATTTATTACTAATTATAATAAATTATTTACGTCTAAATACTAGAATGTATTTCTAGTAGAGTAAGGTATTAAGAAGAAGCTGCTAATAAGCTTTTACCTATACACAGATAGCTAGACGAAATTAATAAACTAAATATTAGAATAGTACTTATATATATACGCTAATAAGTCATAGAATAACTAGAGAGCATCATTACTAATAGTATAACTAGCCTTCAATAGTATAAAATTAGTAATAATACAGTATTCGCTATAATACGCGAACTATTGATATAATCTAACTACTTACTAAGATTTAAAGGATATTAAAAGTAGCATAGTAGGAGCAGATAATAAAGTAAAGCTTATATCAGAACTATATAAAAGATTAAGTAAGAATATAGCTTAATAGAATATAATAATATCTAAAGTAGTAAATAAATAAAGAATTAAGGAACTAACCCTTAAGAAGAGAGATAAAGTTTTTCTATTAAAATAAAACCTTAAAACTAAACGACTATGCAGAAAATTAGACAACCTCTAAATAGAACTATATAAAATTTAAGAGAAAATAGAAAAAGTAAACTATAAGTTAAAACTTCTATAGAATATATAAATCTACTCTATCTCTTATAAAAAACTTCTAAAACTAGTATCTCTAGATACTAAGCTAGTAATAGATATAGAGTTTAAAGATAATAAGTATAAGATTAAAGAAATTAAGAACCTATAGAAAAATAGTAGTTAGTAGAAGTACTTAGTTAAGTAATAAGAATAGTCTAAAAGCTATAATACTTAGGAACCTAAAGAAAACCTAATAAACTATAAGTTACTAGTATAAGAATACTACTAGAAGCATCTAGAGAAGTAAGAGGAAGCCTCTTAAAGAGGAAGGAATAGTTAAAAGAAGAATTATAGTA